GAGCAAAAAGGGAGCAGCTGGAGGGACTCAGCACGGTTCTTGTTCATCCCTTGAACCTATCAAAGGGAAGAAGGGAAGCAGATGCAGGAGGATGGAGCTGAGCATCAGTCACAACAGTATACTCACTGGCAGCGCTGGGAGGTCCTGAGGGGTCTTTGGGATCTGGAACACAGACAGACAGACAGACAGAGAGGAGTTTGCTTGTGAGTCCTCCTCCTCTGCTCCACTCTAACTGAATCCCTTTGCTTACTGGGTGGATCCAGCTCCCCCCATTCCCCAGAAAGTCTGTTCCTCCCAAAAAAAGGGTTTATTAACACCCACCAATTAGGGATAGAACTTCTCCACCACAACAAAATTCACCCATTATGCCTGGATCTATTTAATTTCAACTTCCTCTGAGCTAGATTAAATGACACAATGACCGTATAAGCACTGTGGAAGCTGGAGGAAGACCTTCCTCCTTCTCCCTCCCCACCTTTGTGAAGAGCAGGCACAGCTAGACCTAGGGGACCATTTGTGCAAAAACGCTGAATTTGGACAGAACCTGAAGATAGCTGAGCATCTCCTCACTCTTTGGAAAGAGAGGTTTCCTTAGCTCTAGGGAAAAATCACAAACTATTGATAGGGAAGGGAAATAGGGCCAAAAATTAGGAACAACTCTACCTTCACAGCTATGTGGCTCAGGGTTGAGGTACCTGGCTCACCAGCCCTCCCAAGAGGAATTTACACACTGTATTTCTGTGTTCAGTCCTAATCTTAATCCTTCATCCTTAACGCTCCCTGCAAACACCCAAGGAAAGCATCCTCTAGGAGAAATGGTAGGTCTCCTAATCTTGGCTCTTCCACACTGCCCTATTTTACATTTTTTTTCTTCTGCTATTTCACCATATTTATCTTCAACAATGTCAGTACCATGCAAGTCACCAGGTATTTGGCATAAGTGTATTTATGGGCAGAAAGAGGACTCTAGAGACCAAAAAAATCAGAACTGTGCTTAAACAAAAACTTTATGTGAAAAAGGTTGTGTGTAGC